TCTCCTGAAATGAAAAAAAAAATAACAAATAATTAGTGATACTGGTCTTTCAAATGAAATGAAAATCATTTCAAATGCTTCTTCTCGATTTTTAATGTTTGAAAGAAAGATGAAAATCGAAGAGTGATTTCAAAATATTTGACTATAATATTAGCATTTGTATCAGGTTAGTGAAGATTACAAGATTCTGTTTCCAAGGAAAATGTTCATTTCGAGAAGAACAGTCACATATAAAGAAAATATTAGCAAAAATATTACTTGGATAGCTACTTAAACTGTATAAATGAGTGCACTGGACATCACAGCCAAGTGACATTAGATACCACTTTCTTAAAAAAATAATTCAACAGTGACACCACACAAGGCTAACAGGATTGACTCCCTTCTATCAACAAGTTGTAAGTATCTTATGAAAACAAATTCAGTCCAGCCTGTAAACTATGATCGCACTTCGAATTATATCATTCAGTGAGGTGTCATGAGCAAAGACTTCAAAAAAAAAATATATATATATATTATATATATATATTATATATATATATATAATATATATATATATATATATATATATATATATATTATATATATATATATATATATATATACAATATAACTTAAAAATAAAAGAAAGCCTCTCGAGTGTTATTAATTTTGTTTTTGAAGTTGCCTACAAATTTAAACCAAAAACGTTTGTGTGCATAATTTACCCCAGTTTAATAAATTAAAGAACCACTTTGATTCTAAACAACATTCGTCAATATTTGACACAAACAACCATGAAACCTCATACGAAGTTACTTTTCCTACTTCCCTCTTCCTGTTTACCCTTAACCCATTTCCCTCTTCTATCCTACTCCACTCATAACCCTCTCCACTTACTGGATAGATGTTGTTGCAGAACAAATACATAATGATGCAATACGGTCAATTTGACATACTCCAGAAACTATACAACCACTTGAATTAATTATCCCATACGTTTCAATTATATTCTTCTGTGTCCAACTTAAGATATACATTAGATTTCAGGAGACTTGCAATAAGACCTGAGCACTCTAGATCAATGTGACAACTCGACCGAAGCTCAAAATGTGTCAAGCGACTTACAGGTCACATCTAGGTACCACAGTCCCCCAGGGATATGTCCGCAACATCAGCGTCATTCCACTACTTCCCACCAGATCAAAGACGTAACAGAAAAGTGAGAAAGAGAGAGAGAGAGAGAGAGAGAGAGAGAGAGAAGAGAGAGAGAGAGAGACATTAAAAACACATTTGCCAGAAGACTTTAATATCCAGCTCGTGGCTTTCTACACAAGGGACTATCCTCTTCCATCGTGATTGAGGAGTATTTGCTATTATCCATCTTGAAAAACAGGAATGGAAAGCAAAAGTCTCTCTCTCTCTCTCTCTCTCTCTCTCTCTCTCTCTCTCTCTCTCTCTCTCTCCCTTTTCTCTCTCTCTCTCTCTCTTCTCTTTTACACAGGGTTTGACAAGGTTAGGTTAAGGATCCGTAGCTTTATTGACAATGTATTTACAGGTTAAGGATTCCTATTTTTATTGAAAAGCAAAGGGAGCTGTTACCTACATCAGCTCATTTGAAGCATTTTTATTGTTATCAGACATACAAGAAAGGGGAACAGATGAAGGGTGGAGCCATCTGTGGGCCAGCATTTTCTTTTGATCAACTGACTTTATCTCGTTTACATCATAATGCTGTACGAATGTGTTCCATACTCGAGTCATCCTGGGAATATATGATCTCAGATGAAGTGATGTTCTGGAGAAGGGTACAGCCAAAGTGAAGTTGCTGCTTTCTTCCCGTCTTGTTGTGTAGAAGCTTGTTTCACGTTGTCCTCGAAGCGGATCCAAGTGTGGTACTTTTACAATATTGGCCTTGTACATAACAGTAAGGCCACCCATATCCCTTCTGTGTTGAAGGCTCTGCTGAAATGATAGATCTATCCAGGATTGGTCCAAGCGAGAGATGTGACGTCTTGCTCTGTTCTCTACTCTGTCAAGCAGTCGCAGATGAGAAGAGAGACAGGCGATCCAAGAAAGTGGAACATACTCAAGGTCTGAGCATACTTGTGCCTCGTACAAAATCTTGCAACCCCTGCTGTCAAGCAGATGCGAGATACGGCGAAGTGCTGTAAGCTTCCTGGCTGCCTTGTTTGCAAGATTTACGACATGGTTCTTCATGCTTAGTTATGAGTCAGGTTTCACCCCAAGGATATCAACTTCTTTCCCAGGTGCCAACACCCTCCCATTCATCCTTACTACTGCACCAGCATTACCATCATGGTGCGTAAAGATCATCATCATTTGTGTTTTTTCAGGTGCAAATGTTACTTGCCATCTATTTCCCCAGTCTGATATAGCTCTTAGCTGGTCATTGATGTAGCTTAGAGCAGCTGGCATTTCTTCTCTTGGATAAGTGAATGTCAGTGTACAGTCGTCTACATATGCATAGGATTCTAGGATGAGATGAAGAAGATCATTGAAGTAGACATAACAACGGTCCGAGCACGCTTCCTTGTGGAACACTTGCCCCAATAGGATGTCTTGCTGATTCTGTTCAATTGAGAACTTCCCTTAGAGATCTACCATGAAGGTAATCACTGAGGAGACACAGCGTAGAGCCTGCAATTGCCAGTGCTTGCAGTTTTGCTAAGAGGCCCTGGTGCCACACCCGGTCGAAAGCGCCAGCAATGTCCAGTGCTGCCACACAGCTGACTTTGGATTCATCCAGTGACTGGTGCCACATAGTGGAGATGTTTAACAACAGATCAGCAGCAGAGTAACCTTTCCTGAAGCCATATTGACGGTCACAGAGTAATGAGTAGTAGTCAGAAAACTCTGTCATTTGTCTTGAGATTATTGTCTCAAGGAGCTTGCCAGTGATTGACAGGAGTGACACTGGTCTGTAATTGCTGATTTTTGCTCTGCTCTTCTTTTTGTGAACAGGGACTACATTTGCCTCTTTCCATAGAGAGGGCCATTTACACTGTACTAGGCAGTCCTAAAAAGATGCGAGTTAGAGGTGCTGCTAGCTGGTCTGCACATCCTCTCAGCAATCTTGGGCTCAACTTGTCTGGGCCCACAGCCTTTTCTTGGTCAAGTGATTTAAGAAGCAAATGCACTTCTTCCTGCCTTATGTCACCACTTACAGTTTTGACACAGTTCTTGCAGCTAGCCAAGGATGGTCCCTTGCTGGATCAGGAACTTGCATTTTGGTAGCAAAGTGTTCGGCAAAGAGGTCCGCTTTCTCTTGACTACTAGTAGAGGTGGTCCCATCCTGTCGATTTAGAGGTGGAATGAGTTCATCAGGCACTCTCTCTCTCTTTCCGTCTCACTCTCACTCTCTCTCTCTATCTATCTCTAACCTCCACTCCTTCCGGCAGGAGCGGGCATTAAAGAGGAAAAAATAAGATACCGAAACGTACCTGAAAACCTCATTGAATATTAAAAGAAAGGCATATGTGAATGGAAATATAGTACTACTTAGTTCTGTTTCTCACACTCACGTCACCCACACTGAGCTATCTGTACCAGTGGTTCTCCTGAATACCACTAGATACAATGGCATCTGGACTCTTCACCGAACCACTAGCTAGGCATCCCAGACTGGCAGCCTATAATTGGGTGACAGAAAGTTTATCTTTTTCTGCTTTTTCTACCTCCATCTTCCTTTTTCTTTCTTTTTTTCATTTTTTTTAGCTTATAACATAAGCAGTTGTATTCGGCTCGCTTTCAGCTGTTCAACGCTGACGTTCAGTAAATAGGCCAAGATTCCAGGAAATATTGGCATGAAGGTGGCCCACTATCACAGATGTAGAACCCATTCCAAGGATCCTGGAATGCCTCCAAAAACTTGAGAAAACCTCTGCGTTTAGTTTGGAACGTTCAGAAAAGTGCCTCCAACTTCGCTTACGGCGGAGAGTGAAATTACACTGTGTAGAGGTATGCATGTCAGTTTTATGTATAAAACACTATGAAAATTGATTTCAGTTTACCATCCTGAAATATACGAGTCTGCATCTTCTAAATGGCTTCAGAATTTATAGACTGATATATTTTAAGGCCAAGACAGTAAGCATTAAGTTAAATTTGCGTGCGAGCAAATCTGCATGTGGTGTGTGTGTGTGTGTGTGTCTGTGTGTGTGTGTGTGCGCGTGTTTGTTTGTGTGTGTGTGTGTGGTGTGTGTGTGTGTGTGTGTGTGTGTGTGTGTGTGTGTGTGTGTGTGTGTGTGTGTGTGTGTGTGTGTATTGTGTGTATGTGTGTGGTATGTGTGTGTATGTATATGTGTATGTGTGTGTATGTGTGTGTATGTGTGTATGTGTGTATGTGTGTGTGTGTGTGTGTGTGTGTGTGTGTGTGTGTGTGTGTGTGTGTGTGTGTGTGTGTGTGTGTGTGTGTGTGTGGTGTGTGTGTGCGTGTTTGTGTGTGTGTGTGTGTGTGTGTGTGTGTTGGTGTGTGTGTGTGTGTGTACTCACCTAGTTGTACTCACCTAGTTGAGGTTGCGGGGGTCGAGTCCGAGCTCCTGGCCCCGCCTCTTCCCCTGATAGCTACTAGATCACTCTCCCTGAGCCGTGAGCTTTATCATACCTCTGCTTAAACCTATGTATGGATCCTGCCTCCACTACATCGCTTCCCAAACTATTCACTTACTGACTACTCTGTGGCTGAAGAAATACTTTCCTAACATCCCTGTGATTCATCTGTGTTTTTCAGCTTCCAACTGTGTTCCCCTTGTTACTGTGCCCAAATTTCTCTGGAACATCCTGTCTTTGTCCACCTTGTAAATTTCCCTCTCAGTATTTTGTATGTCGTATCATGTCCCCCCTATCTCTCCTGTCCTCCAGTGTCGTCAGGTTGATTTCCCTTAACCTCTCCCTCGTAGGACATACCTCTTAGCTCTGGGACTAGTCTTGTTGCAAACCTTTGCACTTTCTCTAGTTTCTTCACGTGTTTGGCTAGGTGGGGGTTCCAAACTAGTGCC